GATGGTCTATCTGAAGTTACGTGAGAGCGATAAAGTAAGCCATAGAAATCCATGCGATAGAGAAGGATGGCTATAATGAAGGCCTCTCATAGTCACCACCCGTTTCGCCCTTCCACAAATAAGATCCACTTCTTATTTGTGTGTATGTACTTACTAGTTAAATCTTCCTATATCAATCTAATCTGTGGCATTTATTTCCACGTATATGGAATAATATAATACTCTATTGATATTTCTAATGTGAAGCATTATTTTTTTTACTTGAAATATTAATCAATAAAGCTATTAAGATTTCTCTGGTATCTAGTCACACATTTCTAATCGAATTTTTCCTGATGGTCGTACCTATTCCCTAATAGAGAATTTTTTCTCTAACTAGGTTGAAATAAAAATGATCTCGAAGGAACGCGGATAATCGATTTCCAATCTTGTTTACAGATTACTGCTTTTTATTTATAAATAACCTGCCCCAGTGATTATTTGAACGATGAAAAAGTACTGGGATCAGGACGATCGTTATTATCATCGCTAGGCCTGTGACACATCATTTATAAGACAGGAAAGCCGCTGTAAAAGTCATTTTATAAACCGTTGTTGTCTTAGATATAACTTCACCTTTTATAAACAGAGGTTCAATTACCAGCAGCAAACAGGCGCTAAATTGTGATCCCATTTTAGTTTGCTAAGACACGTACGGAGCCCTTAATTATTTGCTAATAGAAATTTGACTTAAGAAGCTTTGCTAGGATCGAGAAGCTTTAAACATAAATCTAAGTCTCACGTAATTTTTTATAATTGTATATATAAAAACGTTTTACTTTCGGTTGGCAATTAATCGTTTCTTTGAAACATTAGGGCAGGCTGCTTCGGCATATATATTTAGAGACTTTACATGGACGTAACGAAATTTGAAACTCTTGACTTTGAAATTACAAATAAATGCCTTTATACAGTGTCGGAGAGTCCCAATGGTTCATCGGCCGTTACGTGAGAGCGATAAAGAAAGTCATAGAAATCCGTGCGATAGAGAAAGATGGCTATAATGAAGGCGTTATTTATTATTATTAATTTTTCCACTAAGGTAAGTTGGGTTAAATCGATCTAGGTATTTGGGTTCAGAAACCTCCCGTTGCAGTATGGTCCATTCGTTAGAAAATACTATGATATATACAGGGTTTTCAAAAAGTTTGGAACTCCCTCTCTATCTCAGAAAATACTGCTCAAACTAAAAAATTATTAGGATAAAAGTTGCAGTGTTTTGAGTGAGCAATCTAACGGTGACCTTGACCATGACCTTGAAGGTCATTTAGAGGTCAAGTGGAATATTTTAAATGGAACCGTATACTTTTGACCCCGGAAATGGTAAGGGCGGAAAATTTTACGATTGAATGCGACCTTGACCATGACCTTCAAGATCATTTAGAGGTCAACCTGAAAATTTTAAATCGAACCGTATATTTTTGACCCCAGAAATGGAAAAAATTGAAATTTTTACGTTCGGATATGACCTTGACTATGACCTTCAAGGTCAATTACAGGTCAAATCGATTCTTAATAAATGACCCGATATTTCTCGCTTTTTTCATTTCTGGATTCAAAAGTAAACGGCTCCATTTAAAATTTTCAACTTGACCTCTAAATGACCTTGAAGGTCATAGTCAATGTCATATTCGAAAGTAAAAATTTCCATTTTTATCCATTTCCGGAGTCAAAAGTATACAGTTTCATTAAAAAATTTCAACTTGACCTCTAAATGACCTTTAAGGTCATGATCAAGGTCATGGTCAAAGTCACCGTTGGATTGCTCACTCAAAACCCTGCAACTTTTGCTCTAATCATTTTTTTGTCTGAGCAGTATTTTCTGAGATAGAGGGGGGGTTCCAAACATTTTGAAAACCCTGTATATTAAAAGCACTTACCAGTTTCAAGCTTGCACCAGGAAGGAGATCACAAAAGTGGAGACCGATAACAATTTTTTATGTACCATTTATTTTTTTGCTAAGTTACCTACAATTTCCAATTACATAATTATGTTTTTAAAAGTCCCAAACTACCGTCATCTCTTAGATTTCAGACGTATTAGATGTAGTTTATCTACATGGCTAAACAGTTGATGCAATAGATTACTTTACAGTGAAGTGTTTTTAAAAGATCTAAACTTCCGTCATCTCTTAGATGTGAGACGTATTAGACATAGTTTACCGACCTGACTAAACAGTTGATGCAATAGATTACTGTACAGTGAAGTTCAAATCGACGGAGCGTCCGACAGATAGCGCTAAAGTATTAAAGTAGAATCAAACGCAAGCGCAAATTTGTTAACAACTTTTTAAAGTTGTTTTTGTTTAGTAATTAGTCGTTTTAGAAAAAAATAAAGTTATTTACTTTTTACTGTGGTATACAAATATACATATTTTTACATGTGTTGAACATATAGTGGTAGTATGAGTGCGTACGACTACAATCCAGACGTGTGCCTTCAAGTTATCCATAGGATAGCGGAAGAAATTCCCTCGGGCGTCAGGTATGGAAATGTCATTGCCCTGTTCTTTGTTGAAATGCTTTATAACGGCTCTTTCCAATTTTATTTTACACTTGTGTTTAGATTATTTTTATAATAAATTGTCGATCAAAGCAAGGACATGTCAACCTCATATGATTTTAACTGAAAATTGTAGTTAGGTTCGGGACTAGTGCTTTATGTGTGTTAAATTAATCATATTGCACCAGTCCCGGCCTGATTTCAGTTTTCAAATACGTCGGACTTCTGTTGCTTCAGGTGAGGATTACTTTTATTCATCCTGCCATTGGGATATCTTCTAACCTCAATTATAATCAAGCTGTTTACTTATATTTGAAAGCCTTTTAAAGGCTTTTTGGTTTACCTACTATATTCGCTATGATTTGGTGTCATACAGGGAAAGTTTACATTCAATATTTATGAAGTCGTCTACAAATTTCTGATGAACGTCTGTATAACGTATAACATGGTGTATGAAAATTCATTCCGGGTGCTCCAACTATGATCACTCTCCTTGTATTTTTGATATTGGAGGTAAAGACCAATGTGTTTATTATCAATAGGAATTAATTCTTCACTTTATATGTATAACGCTGTAAATTTGTAAGATGTTAAATACAATACTTCTTTAGAATCAAAATAAACCTGTTCAATTTTTTATCTATGTCATTGTCGTTTCAACAATTATTCATTTTCATCAGAGAAAACAATTACCGTCATTGATATTTTCTAAAATTTCTAACTTTAATAGTCATGAATTAATGCCTGTACTTTCAGATAACAGATTTGCAGCTTTGTAATTTATAGAGTGAAAGTAAAATAAAGCCCATCATGAAAATTTACTTGTGACAAACTAGGAGACAATTTTATCACAGACTATAGGTATATTCACAACTAATTTACGTCGAGTAAAAATTCAAAATTGATTCAATTAACCATACCTACAAGAGATACCACTCCGTTACAGATTCCTAGGATTCAAATAAGACCATTTATATCAATTTACCTATACAAAAATATAGCCTGCAGAATGTGATTTTTTTATAATTATCTACAGTAAAACTATCTACGTAGGTGTTCTTACATGTCTCAATTATTTAAGTAGTTTTGTCATCTAAAAGGCGCCGATGGAGAGGATACATATTTCTATTTCTTTTTAGTGTTATGTATGTATAAAATGTTTATTTAGATATAGTTGTATTAATATGTTTCTTGGAGATGTTCCAATAATTGTTTGTGTAGTAGAAAGAAAAATGTATTTAATATTAAAAAAGTATTTTTATATTGTAGTGGAAGAGACCTAAAGGCAATATATCCGAAGATTACATTTTCTCAGGAACTTCTGGGTTATATAAAAAACACTATAATAACAGTTACAAAAAGGGTCATTGACTGGATGTGGATTCATTACAATATTCCAGAGAAATTAAAATATTTAAGAGAGTTAGAAGCAAAATCTCCAAAACATGACGCATGGTAAATAATAAACTTGTATTAGATAATTATTTACTTGTACTAAAAATGTGGGATACTGATGATTCTGTTTTTACGACTAGAGTGGGCAAGAGGGAAAATGTTTTTATTTTTCACTATACTACGAAAAAAAGAGTCGCTGTGAACAATAAATTTTACTTATATTTAAATTAAGTTTGTCATGAATAATTTGAGTTTGTTTGTATAGGGTGATCCACCATAGTATCGCTTCTTATTTGCTCCTATATCTTTAAAAATATTAAAAATATTTTAAATTTTCTGTAACCTAAATTGCAAAAACAATTAAGTATCAGATCAGAAACATACAGGCTTGAGTTATTTAATTGAAACACCTAGAGCAAGTGCAAACTAGCGACTTGGCATTCATGACATCGATATGAAAAGTTGAGCAATGCTGATCACAGTTAGTGTAGTCTTTTCGATATCAATTGAAAAACCAAGAGGTTGAAAGTATGTACCAGGTTCGGTCGCTGACGCAGCAACTCGGCATTGAAATATTTGAAAAACTTGTTCCTCTATTTATTTAGCCATACCCATATACACGTCTGGTCGAACTAAACATGGAGGTGGTAGAAATGTATACGCCCAGTTGAAGAATGCAAGCACGGGCAAATGAAATACAAACACAGCTGCATTGGGCCACTGGGCAATAAATCTCAGCTGTTGACAAATGGTTGACAAATTGCTCAGTAGTGCAGTGCAGCAATGCGGAATTTGGTGTAATTCAGGTAATTTTAATTTATTATAGGCACCTTCTATTAATAATTGATATTACAATTGCGAAAGGGAGAAATAATATTACAACATGGCATTTTAGAGATCTTTTGAAACGGAACAAAATGAAATTTACCATCAATATAATAAAATTGTTTGAGGACATAAATAATTAAAATATTTTGTTGGTCAAATGAACATATAATAGAAATTTTCTACGCATTATATACAAATTATTATAATTTTTTACCTTTAGCAGAAAACTTTTTTAGGGAAGCCTATGAAAGTCATTAAATTTTATTGCCAGGCGTTTTTTTACATGTTCAACTGACTTCGGAAAGACTGTATTTGGATGGGTGAACATTCAGGGAAGGCTTGCGATGCTCATCCACCTTCTAGTGGCCTGTATGTCGTAGGAGCTATATAAATTTATAAAAGGTTTTTATAGAAAAATATGTCATGTTTTGGAAAGGGTGTAAAACTGTTGGTTCCTTATCTAAGTAATGTTAGACACGTAAAAGATCCCTATCCTATGGCATAATGAGAATCCGGCAAAATTTCCAGGTTGGGAGTTGCTCATCTCGTGGCATTGGTGTTTAGCCATAGTAGCAGTAATAGGCCGATGTAAAATAAAAAAAAAATCAAAAACCTTGTTTATTTTTATATATTTGGACATTTTCTTCCAATTAACGGGAACCACCTTAAATAGTAAGAGAAATATAATATGGCAATATGGCCAACAAGTGAATCATGAGCATAATTTGTTAGAAAAAGACTCTTCTTCTATAACATTAGGTTTGTGGCACACACTTTTGACCATAATTTCCTTAGAGTTATAGCTATATTCACCACACCTTATATCACTGTAATCTTAAGAAAGCATTCTGTCCAACTGTATAAAAATATAAATGATGTTTCGTTTAAATAAACCATTGTTAGGCAGTTAGGCACGTAATCCAATGCTCAACTGTTTTCTCAATTTAAAGAGTAGAAAATTTTAAATATTTCGTATATCTTTCATTCTTACATATTTTTTGATTTGTTGAAGGATTTTTTTTTATTATTTCAGGGCAATCAAAGTCGGCCGAATGATTTTTTCTACTGATACAGTGTGGTATACTAAGACATCAGACACAATTTTCTTAATTGGTCTAAAACTGACAATATTAGGCCCTGCCTAAAATTATGAAAAAATTTATATGCAAAGTACTATTTATCTGTCGTAATCGAGAGAGTTTTTGCTAATTTTTCATATTCTCATATTTGCAAGGTTCTCCTAAAATAAATTTTAGTTTGAATATAATGTATGCATTTTTATGTGAAAATAACTGAAAAAACAATTAATTTGCAATTCATTTCAAATTAAATTAAACGAAAAATTATACACGATTAGGAAACTCGGATTCCACATGCAATACCTTTCTTCTTTTATAAACTGTCTTTCAATTCTCTCTCTCTCTTATTCCATAAAATGAAAACGTTTTCCACTTGGTCCACTCTAATCATCGACATTAAAGTGGAATTCATTTCTTACTGATCTTGTAGGCACACTGGTACCAACATAATATTAATTATTGTTGTGTTTTTTAGGAGGCCCAAAACGGGAGACGTAAACTTAAATTCTATCAAAGCCCGGAATTTATTGAAAAGAAAAAGGGAACTAATTAAGCAAATTGAACTAGTACGGGAAGAATCTGAGATGACAATGCTATACATAAAAGCGTTTTCAGAACAAAGCAAAAAGCAACTGGAAGAAATTAATTTAACAAAAGAAAAATACAAAACGATATAAATTACAGTGACTCCTTTTGTGCCATAATATTTGCAATAAATTTATATTATTAATTTTAACAAAATTAGATATTTTTATAAAAATTATCTGTTGTTTTTATTTTCTTGCCTTTACAAAGTAGTTGCTTATGGTTGTAATTATACACACAATTAAGTTAATTAGTTAATTAGTTAATCTATGGAGTGTGTCAGATGGATGACTTGTAAAAAATGATGACTTTATTGCCTACTTAATTTTACCAAAAAATACTTTTTTGATAACATTTTAATCGAAAATAAGAGTAAATGACGGTAACAGTTAAGTCATAGGTATATTACACAAAGTTTGAATAAAAGTGGGCTGTGTGTTATACAATTTTCATTATTTCATTCAATTATTTTTATTGGCTAGAAATACTTGTCAATTTTTGTTTGGACATTAATGACTGTTGCTTAGGGTGGCCCAAAAAAAACAAATATTTTTATTTTCATGTCTTGTGAAAATACGTTAGTTTATCATGTTTTAAGAGCCCCCTCAGAAAATCAGCTCAAAAAAAAAATTTTTATAGAGGTCGCTCAGGATTTTAAAACATCAACGAACTAATAATTTTTTTATTGAATTTGATGAACAAAAGAATAGAAATAAATCACGAGACATTTAAAACATTTCTCGAGGCAAAATTTACTACCGCACTGAGTATCAAATATTAATTTTTTAAAATTTAAGTGTCGTGATTTCTATCCTTTTGTTCATCAAATTCAATAAAAAAAAATTATTAGTTCATTGATATTTATTTTTAGAGGTCGCTCAAAAACAGGTACACTATTTCGAAGGTTAAAATAGTTATGAGTGACCTTTAGAAATTAAAATATCGATTTGAAATTTTCAGAATCGAGATTTTTGTCAACCTAGAAAATGATAAAATAACGAGACAAAAGATTTAAAAAAAAATCAATTTTTGACGATTTTGGAAATTTTTAAAAATCTTGAGCCCCCTCTAAAAAAACTTTTTTTGAGCTGATTTGTGCTGTTAAAACATGATGAACTAACATATTTTCACAAGACACGAAAAAAAATATTAGTTTTTTTTTGGGGCCACCCCTACTGTTACTGTGTGGAAAGCGTTTTTATGAAATCAGTAGGTACTGCATATTTATAAAATAAAAAATATTTAATACATAAATGAATGTCAGACACTAACTAATTAAAGGAGTTTCAAAATTGTAAACAAAACAAATTTCACCAAACTTGATACAAAAACGAAAAGACCTAAATGAAGTGAACTAAAGGCTGTTATGGGGAACTACATATTTAGATTTTTTAATAGATTTTTAATTGTAGCAGAATTTATTTCAATAGTTGCTGTCAATTTCTCTACTTGTTCTTCCATATTATTCATTTGTTTTCGAAAATATGGATTTACTTCACATAATGGAATTTCTTCAGCTGAAATTATTAAATAATTAATGCAATATAAAGTAATATACATTGGGAGACATACAGGAACAAAAATTTTCAGGCTGTATGTGTTGTTTTCTATGTATTTCTAGCAATTTTTCATAGTATTCATTTGTTATAGAGAATTTTAAATAAGCAGTTTGTTTTTCTGTAATTTTTGTATCCATTTTCTAAAAAAAAGAAAAATATATGAATTTTTACTCTATATATCAAAAATAAAACGAAGGTTTCTTCTACAAATATAGTGAGAGCGTTAATACTTCTATCGTTGACATCTTAGTAAAAATAAACTAAGAGCTCATTGCGTTATAAAATTCACAAAATATGTGGTAAGTAATAAGATAAAAACACTTAAACACCAATCCCTGGGGGATGGGGGTACCAAAAGGAAGTATGAAGAATATCAATGGATATTTGATCATCCATTTGCACTACGGTATGGTTATACCTTTTTAAATGAACCTACCTCCGAATATTTTTCATAATATTCAATGTCACTTTTCAGTTTGTCCTTTCTAACTTCTAAGAGATTATTTTTATAACTTTCCAACTTTTCTTCATTTTCCAAGGTATGTATTTTATCTTTAACTGAATTTAGGAATCAATATAAAGTCATAGATCAATAAATTCATAGATTTGTCAGTACATATTTGAAGTTATTTTAATTACCTGCAGTGATTTGTATTTCCAATTGATCTATTTCTCGTTGTATTTTGTCGTGTTTTTTCATGTTACAATTCTGTGTATTTTTAGTTTCCATTTTATAACTGTTCAAAATTTGCGTCTCAAAAAGGATCCTACCGCCTATTTCAAAATTCAAATAATATGCAACGGTAAATTCAACAACTCTTCTCTGTAAATCGTATTCTTTAAATGTGCTTTACCTCTTTTGCTACTTCCTCCTAGATGGCTCACAGCTCCCTATTTTATTGAAATTACTGAACTATTACTCATGCGCACTTAATAACGGCGACCACCAGCAGCTTTTATCAACCAAGAATTTAGCATCATTGACGCCATTGTAGTTTTTATTAAATTTATAGTGTTTTTATAAAATTCTAGTGCTAATACTGTAAGGAAGGGTAAGTTTATATTTAAAACTTGAATTATATTGATGCAATTTATCTTATAAATAATTGGAACTATTTGTATTTCATAACATGGTATAATACCGGTTTTTTAAATCAAGATTTTAATTATCACAAATCAGCAAAGTTATTCGAAATTATTTGTTCAGACGTTATTTTTTGTTGTTTCATATTCGTAGTTTAAGGACAATTGATTCTGTAAACAATTATGACCACATTATTTTCAATGTAACAATATAACCTCAATTTTAGATTAGAAGCGGTTCCTTGGCATCTAATGTTTGATATTGGAATCGAACGAATATCTAGATTGATTGCATGTCGATGTATTTTTATTTAATTCGTCGTATCCTAGCAACTTCTTGTTTGCCACATAATTTCTTTCCGGAACGTATATCAAATATTACAGTACGCTTCAATTTGTTCAACATTAGTAGTTATTTTAATCAATATATTTGGATTTCGTTTCTAACATGCAACGTTCGTATTATTTCAAATCTATAATTTGAATTGAGTTATTTTCTATCATTGTTTTTTTTTTATTTTTTGAACATCATTGTCATTAATACAAAATATTTAAGTACTTAGTTCAATTAAGGTAATTCCCATTGGTACTTAGTAAAATGTTTCCTATACAAACATCCGAGCAAGCGTCTACTAAATTATATGTACATAAATAACATTTCTAAATAGGAATACACTTCAATGTAGGTATTATACGTACATTATATAAAGAATTTTTATAAACTTTTTAAATACGCGTTAATCGGTTTTGATTATTATTGGGGTGTGGGCTTTTGCTTTCAATTGACACATCTTCGTATTACACAGAATGGTTTTTCAAACTTGTATAGTGAAAATATCCCTCACTAACGTTTTTCATTGATGCAATAATGACAAATAATATTTTTCAGTTGGTAATTTACTTTAAATTGGCTGCTTAGGGAAAAAACTACAGTTTCTCTAATAGATTGCTGGCAGGCAATGATTTTTTTATTTATCTGTGCCCAACCATCAAACCTTTGCTTTTCGCGTCGTGAAGACTGCCAGATTTTGTAAAAGTAATTGAGGTAATAAGGGTATAATAACTTTCTTTAAAATTCGGTGAGCAATACTTTTAGGGACTACCGGTACACTTCCTAGGCGTCTAGTACTATTTTTAGGATTTTCTTGTTATACGTCTTAGCCTAGATCTTCATTTCTCCATTCAAAACTACCATTTTCGCCATGGCGTCTTTCTTTACAGTCGTTTGATGGTTGAGCACCAGTCGATTTGGATATCCATCTGAATATAAACTTGACACTTTCGCGACCTTATCGACGAAACCCGTACGTCTACGTGTTTGTCCATGAAAAATAAAGTAATAAATTTTATCTTATTAAATACTCATCAGGAATAAACAGTTACGATGAGTCGAAAATAAAAAGGCAGTATCATCTACCAACTGAAAAATCTTTGTATTATTGCATAAACGCATTAGTTATGTACGGATATTTTTAGTTGCTAGAAAGCAGGTGTGCATTTTAAAAACTTCTCTGTACCTATAACACCAAAATATGTTAATTGAAAGTAAAAGTCCACACCTCTAAAATGATTAAAATAAATTAACAAGCATTAGTCATTTTAAAAATTCAAGAAATGTTCAGAAATTTTGAGGCCATTTAGAGGCCAAACGAAACGATTTCGAATATAGGTAAATTATCCAAATCGGCCTATTTTGTGTTCAGGAATTTGTGGTATTTTATTGTACACGTATTACGGGACACGCGGTATATGCTGGGTCTACCTTTAATGATATTGATAAGGGAAATAAATGCCGCTAGAATATGTTATACCTATGTATAATGTATTTCATTTCTAAAATTATTTTGTTTCTTCTTTCAAAAAATTCTTTCTTTAGCTACTTCTATACTGAGGCTAAGGAACAAACCGTCATTTTAACATTAAAAAATGCCTATTTTTTAAAAATTTTAAATTAATGGGATAGATTTATCAGAATAGTTTTGAAAATAGTTTATTATTGAATGGAACTACACACCTATGAGACCCCTTAAAAAATGTAAGTTGTTTTTTCTTAACATCCAACGTCCTGTATATTTTAACACATGTATTTTCTTATTATTACAGCGATATAGGTCTCATTAAAATTATCAGTTGCAAGACGACCTAGTCATTGTCTAAACATTTACAGGATTGTGCATTTTTTTGTTCGTTTCTCCAAAGAAATTTACAATTTCTCATTGTCAGAAACTAATCCACACATTTTTAAAAAGAGAATGAAAAGACGCCAAATGAGGCCCCATTTGATGCATCGTCTCACTTAAAGGCGATAGCGTCAAAGCGTGACAAAATGCGTCAGTCTTGAAATAATAATCGGTACCTATATTTAAAAAAAAACTCATTCTGTACATACTTAACAACAAGGCCAACTTTTAGGTGAAACCACATACGTATTTTATTAATGTTTTATAGATAAGGCTTATTTCGTTTGAGGAAATTCCGTAATCATTCTCAATTACTTTTCTTTAAAAGGTAAGAAAGACCCTATTGAAGTAATACATTATACTATTTTGGCTGAAAATTTAAAAATTGTTTGTATACCTATATCACCTGTCTGTGTCTTAACTAGAGTTTAGTAGTTCTTGCTGTATCCAAGACGATATGGAAAAACTATAAAATTATCTAAAATATTATTTTTCTAAATGATATTTCGTTATTTGAGCCATTGTTAAATCGTCACCTAGTCACTGAAGCCGTAATATAAAATTAAAATGTTTTACCATCTCTTATACTCGTCAAAATATTATTTTTATTGTAATTAACAATCACATTAGTAGAGAAATTATTTTTCTTTCTCGGCGAACTATATACTATAGTAAAACATCGTTAAACCCATATTTTAATCTGAATTTCATCTCATATTTTTACAACAATTTCATAAATTTTCCATGAAGTGCTTCTTTGCATATGTATTCTTAAATGACAATTTGTAAGATAACTTTATAGTGATTGTTTATTATAATGTAGGTACTGCTCTTCATTTTTTTTTTTTAGTTATCAGCGTTTGTTGTCTGTTTTATAGTAGTCAAACTTATACTGAAATATTTAAGATTCATTCGAATAATTAAAATAATATTGACTTGTTTTTTCTACTGAAATTTTTAATTAATATACCGATATACTTATTCAGATTTCTAAACATTGCGAATAATTAATTCTATTAAAAATTTAAATATATTCTGTCGAGTATGGGATGTTAAACGTAGCTATTATTTTTTGCGATTTGCTTAAAACTAACTGACATTTCTGTCCTTTTTTAGGGACATTTGGCTGACAGTGACATTGGCGATTTAACTGGGGCTCGTATCTTATAAACGCGTCGTGACATAATGGCAGACGAAACTCCCATCGAATCCGAGCACTTGTCGCAGCAAGTGCCGGAGCATATACCCGAGATAGCTTTAGAAACTCCTTCAATAGAACCCGAAGCAAATGTTTCCGTACCAGCTACTCTTCCAAGTGATGACATGGAAGCCGCGGCACCCACAGAACAAGCACCACCTCCTAGTGAGGAAGCCGCCGCGGAAAGTACTATAGAACAGAAACAACCTGAAGAAATAAAAGTGGAAAAACTTCCCGCTAAGAGAATCTCCGTACATGTCAAAACAGCTCAGGAGAAAGAAAGTTTTGACGTCGAGGAAGAAGCGTTGATAAAAGACTTTAAGGAATTAATCGGACCTAAATTTAACGCTGAACCCGACCAGTTATGTTTAATCTTTGCGGGTAAAATCATGAACGATGGTGACACTTTGATCCAACATAATGTTAAGGATGGCTTGACAATTCATCTTGTCATTAGGGCGGCCCCTAAGACTTTGGAGGCGGGCTCGCAAAGGCCACCGGCAGATATAAGTGCAACACCTTATCAATTGGGCAGTTTAGGTGGTCTGGCGGGTCTGGCACAGCTTGGCATGGGGTCCGCTAATTTTATGGAAATTCAGAGTCAGATGCAGAACGAGTTGCTGTCAAATCCCACATTGCTGAGGGACCTTTTGGATAATCCGTTGGTGCAACAGTTAATGAACAATCCAGAGGTTATGAGAACGTTGATCACCAGAAATCCACAGATGCAGGAACTTATAGATAGGTACATGAGATCTTAGTTTGGTTATTTTGTAATAATTTTCTCATTGAATTAGAATTCGAGCTGGAAGAGAAAACTTTTGACGATTTTTTTAGTTTTATTAAAGAACCGTTACGGAAATTTCAGATTTCTAATTAGGTAATCCAAGAAATTTGGAAAGAACTATTTATGCATGTATTCAATGAGAACCACGCGGAACTAACAAGATAGTATTTAAAAGAAGTCGACAGTTTTAAAATTCAATGAATAGAAATATGTGAATATTTTCTTATAGCTGTTTTACATTGACAATTTATTCATCAATAAATTGACGAAGTTCTTCATCAATTAATTCACGAATTTATTGGTAAACAGTGTGGTTTTACACTGCTACAGACTTTGTCAAGTTTTTTGACGTATGAATCGGTTCTACCAATGAATCAAAGAAGCAAATAAATTTCAAAAATGTCACCTTTCCACTCATAATTGTAGTGATACAACAGCGGTACCGTTCTGACACATATTATATAAATATTAGTTTTTGTAAATAACAAATCAGTAAAAACAATGCAGAACTAGCACGACACTACACAATTATTTACATATTCCAATAACATAATCTCATTACTGATCTGAAGCTGGAAATCTGTTGGGTTGGTACTTCCGAACTTCACGAAGAAATTGACGAAAATTAGAACATGCTCTAATTCGTCAAGAACTTGATGAATAAATTGATGAAGTTATTTGACAGCTGATTTGGTGCATTACACTTGTCCAATTTCCTGATGAAGCGACTTCATCAATTAATTGATTAATAAATTGTCAATGTAAAACAGCTTTTACACAATTAGTATGTACGTACACACACTGTGTGCACATTTTTGCCTTTTTATAAATTATATATACAGAATTATAGTTATACAATGCATACTTAATGGTGTATCTGGCAGATGTGTATTTTTTTCTTCTGTCTCTCGTGATCTTCATATTAAAAGACATTGTCAGAAAACTTAAAAATTCGCTTTATATTGACAATAAAGTTATTGTATGGTGTTGCAATATTCCTCCTCTAAATTCCTATAGGTCATGTTTTGAACAAAACTTTTGAATAAAGTTCATGTATACATAGGTTCACGCTTCATTTTTGACGTTTTTTTGGCATACGGTAATAGACGTTTTATTTGTTTTAGTTGTTCTCAATTACTTTTTTGAAGATAATTCATTCTAATTCAGTAGAATTAACACATTTTTCATAACCGGCAGCATTCTATGAAACTTTTTTACTTGGTAATGTATTACCTAATTACACGTTAGAAGATTATTATTAACTGATATTTATGTGGCACTGTATTTAAACTAAAGCCAACATTATTTTTTTTGCCTGTCAATTTCCTGCTAAATCTTACCGATCAAATAAAATGCGGACTTTGTTGTCGAGTTGTTTAACTACATTAACAAAGGAATTATATGTGTTTATTATTTACAAATTTGACCTGTTGCTTGATCTGTTTTTATCTTTTCTATAATATCTAATATAATAGAAATTTTGTCGCCTATGTCACGAAAAGTTTGCGAATGATGATTATTATTTTTTTCTTATTTTTGGTCAGAAAACCTCTTTAACAATTTGTTGGAGGAATATCGTGACATACTGTGCATGTTTTCCTTCGTCGGTAGAATTTCTATTTCAGTCATAAACTAATTAAACACAAAATAGCCAAATAGGTTTGTAGGTGTTATAATTACAGTAACCCAGCTTTTTATTCAAGGTATCCTGAAATAAACCAAACACTTAATAACCCAGAGTTGTTGCGTCAAACGGCAGAGCTGGCACGTAATCCGTCCATGCTCCAAGAATTAATGAGGAATCACGAGCGATCTGTTGGCATGGAAGGAACTCCGTCTGTTCCTGGAATTAATCCCTTGCAAAACATATACCAAAACTTGCAAGAACCTATGCTAACAAATCTTGCTGCACAGTTCCAAGCCAGTACCGGGACTACACCGGCAGCAGGTGTTATGAACAACCCACAGATGGCGAGCCTTCTGCAGCAAATGTCAGAGAACCCTAGCGTGGTTCAGAATATGTTATCCGCGCCATATACCCAATCAGTCCTAGAGGCTTTGACTGCAGATCCAAACATGGCCAACGCGTTGCTAGCTCAAAACCCTTTGGTTACCAATAATCCCGTGTTACAAGCACAAATGAGGAACATGATGCCCCAGTTCATGCAACAGATGCAGAATCCCGAAGTACAGAATCTAATGACGAATCCACAGGCTCTCGACGCTATTTTACAAATCCAACAAGGGATGGAAACTTTAAGGCAATCGGCACCCGGTCTCATCCATACTGTCGCACCTCCACAAGTTCCCCCAGCGGGCTCTCCTAACCCTTCACCCGCAACTGATAGCGCGCCGGCAGCGGCACCAACTAGTGCACCAAGCGCTCCGAGAGACGCATTTTCCGAATTTATGGCTAGGATGGTGGCGGGTATGGCTACTAATAATGACACGTCGGTACCTCCCGAGCAGAGATATCAATCTCAACTGGAGCAGCTTGCGGCAATGGGATTCGTTAATAGAGAAATCAATTTGCAGGCGTTGATTGCGACTTTTGGAGACATCAACGCAGCTGTTGAGAAGTTACTTGCCCAAGGGCAGCTGTCTATGAGTTAATTGGGAAGTTGTGTAAATTAGAATATTATTTTTTTATGGTTAGAATGAGGCGTTGTATGTTCTATGTGAAGTAACATGTACAATTTTATGTTCGGGTTTGTTATAACTTAACTGAATAAATACTTTAGTTCAGTTACTATTTTTATTATTCTACACAAAACACTTCAGCCAAATAAGGATAACATTTAGAAAGAGCCGCTAAACAGCGGCTTTGAACAGCGTTACTTAAAAAAAAATCACAACATCGCCTTTATTAAAAAATATCTATTTCAAAAACATTCATTGTTTTTATTCAACTTATGTCAACTCGTACATTTTATTTTAGCATATGCCAACCCAACAAATTACAAATCCAATTACAGGGTAGGACAAAGAATATTTGGAATATGACATTTACAGTAAAGAAATTATATGATACCTTGCAATAAAAGTATTCATGAAGATATATGGGGCACCAAAATTATATTCTCAGAGTTTTTAAGCAGGCCAAGGTGTAAGAGAATATTTACTCGTATATTGCTTTTATTTTTTAAATAAAATTTAGCCCGTTCTTTGCTTTACGGGTATCATGAACTTTCTAGCCTCCATAAATGATTACTGTCAACCAAAAATTCCTAAATCTTAGCGTCATCGATATTAATTATTCGTTTACAATGAACAATAACAAACCGCTGCGTTTGAGCTCGAGATAATGCGATCGCTGACTCGTTGATTGAAATCTCGTGAGAAATTACACCAATCATGAGCCGGTGAAGCGGAACCTTCTGTTTCGATGTAATCTTGATCTTATTGTTTTAATATATTTTATTTATTATTGTTATACCTTGTGAGAAACATGTGTAGTGTTTTCCTAAATTTAAAAATTTGTATAAATAAATTATGCGCACTTTCCCAAAAAAAGCCAGGTTTAAATTGTTTCTATAAACATTATTTGCAGAACGCGAATTATAACAACGAACATCACACTCCTATAATTTTTTTTTAATATATGAAACTGTTTCTTAAATACAAACAGTAAAATGTTAGTATTTTGTTTTCTTGGAATGGTGACCTACATGAGGCAAAAGGATCGAAAGATATCAATTTGATTAATCTTTTCTGCAAAATAAACACCCCGTCTAGATTGGTACCTTGGGCTCAAAAACATATTAAATACTTATAGACTAGTTTTTGTATAAAGTATAGTCTATTTCAATTTAATTGATTAATAAATTTTTTGTTTTTCAAAAATGTTTAAAAAATTTTTACTTATATCTTGGAACCTATGCATTTTGGAAGAATATTGAAGTGGAAAAAGTTTTAGAATTGAATTTTGCACAATATACTGTAAGTTAAAATTATATAAATTTATTACCGATGTTACAAAATAGCAATAATTGATGAAAAATTTTTCCGCTCATTTATCTATTTTGCCGATAACTTATGTATATGAATTTTTTTCCAGCTTAAACTCGGAAAAACGAAGCCACTGGATCAAAGATTATTGCCAAATTGTTTATAAATTAACGATCAGTGCCGATAAACTTTGACCGCTTATATCTCGAGAACCAATAAACGGAATTTAACTTTTTTTTTAAAGAAGCGTCTTTCCGAGTACTTTAAAATTATAATGTCTGAAAAAAACTAAATTGCAAATTGATAAATGTAATCTAATTGTTTAAAAATAAAAAAACTATAGTCTGTTTAGAAATGAAAGAGAGTAATAAAAGCTTATTATTTGTGCAAATCGTAAATAAATGTAGTCCTGGTGCTTATATTCAATATTTTTATATTATGTATTATCGGTATAGATGAGGTGTACTTTTAAAAAAACTGTGTGATCGGACTGTACTGAATTGTAGCAGGTAGCTAAAATTTAATCCCCGACAATCCGTCTTTGTCTATGCCGCTTCAATTTCTCGGTCCATTTCTCTTATAAGTAAACAATATAAAAACAGCATTTCAAAATATGAGGCTACTTTAACNTTGTGCAAAATTCAATTCCAAAACTTTTTTCCTCTTCAATATTCTTCCAAAATGCATAGGTTCCAAGATATAAGTAAAAAACTTTTTTTCCAATTTTGAAAATGTTCCGAACCTCGCCCATATCTAGAGATCTACACATTTATTATGCGAGTTGTACTGAAAGTACTCCAGAAAAAATTTGCTTGCCTCCTCTCACATCCACCTCAAAACAGATCCGCTCTGATCTATAGGTCTTATTTGGATCACATCTTGTATTAAAATCTTTCTGTACAGATTGCCTTTTATTGAAGCTAAAACGTTTTACTTCCCTTGAACTACTACTGAAAGTATAATTCTTAACATTAAGACACATTGCAAATATTTGTATAATCTTATCTTTCCCTAGGTTATTATTTAATTTAACTTATTTAGCATATTTATTATTTGCTTAAAACACTGCACATTTCGAATTTTAGTCGCGATGCGGTAGAATAATTATTGCTTCCAAGAACAGTCAACTGTAGTGTGCGCTGCATTTTAACAGGTAAATATGTATACGTGATTCATAAAGTACAAGTCACATTTTACAGTGAGACAAATTATTTTAGAACACATAAAATTTTTTTGGAGATTATTAATTTATTTCAGTTCTGATAATTAAGAAGCAACAGTTCAGTTCAATACATGCAAAGTTAAATTGTGTTGCTTTTCTAGCACGTAATAACATATACGTAAATACATACTATAAAGTCTTGAAAAATAATTATAACTTGGATAAAAAAAAATCCTGCTGCGTTTACCAGTCTGGTATACAGAAAGATGAATGATTTTGGTTATACAACTTATTGTTTGTGATATCCGCTGTAGTCCTGTCGCATTACCATTTAACCGTTGCCTTTTACAAATGTTGAATATTGGTTTCAGATGTTTTTGCCATTTTTTACTTAAGAAATAACGGAGAAATTATTTAATAATAAAAATAATTAAGTTCGTTTCCAACAGTTTTAAGGCCAAATTTCAGAAAATTCTTAAACTGATTTGCAGTATTAATATTATCTATACCTTTACTTATAAATATACAGGGTGCTCCAATTAAAACATCCACCTGAAACATTTTCAATGGAACTGGTTTCTAAGGAAAATCCCGAAACAGGTCGATTTTGTTTTCAAGGGGACATCTTTTGATCATAAATTCATGAATGTAGGGTCATCACCCTAAACGGGGTACAGTAATAAAATCTTTGTTCAACATTTTCCCGGACATTTTGTAGCATTTCATGGGTTATTTCATCACGTGCTACTACTATTCGTTGGCGAAGATCTTCTAAAGAGGTAGGTTCCGTTTTATAAATAGAAAAAGTCATTTTCTGGGATCTAATCGTCGTTTTCAAAAATCTCCACAATGCGAGAGTAGATGAATTCTTGAAGCAAACTGAGGTAACATTCACCTGTCAGGTTATCAGGTAGAAAAAATGGGCCAACAATATTATTTCCCAAAATTCCAACCCATACATACATTCAACTTTTTTGGATTCTGCGAACGCTGTTCTCTCATAACTTCAGAATTTGAATCACTTCAATATCTGCAATTATGTTGATGTAACCTTTAAGAAAGAATGTGTATTCGTCAGAAAAGAATGTGCATTCGTCAGAAAAGAATGTGCATTCGTCAGAAAAGCATGTGCAATATAAAAAATTGGGATTGTTCAAAATTTGTTCACTCGTCTTTTCACAAAATTGTATACGGCGTTCTGGATCATCTTCATTGAGCTCTTGAACGAGATTAGTCTTATAGGGATGAAATTGATGCTTTTTCAAGATCGTCAAGACTACTAGGTATGTGGAATTCCTGAAGTTGCCTCTAATTTTCTGGTGCTTGAAGTGGACTCTAGTTCAACATGTCACAAAATTGCAACCTGTGCAGCCTCATCAGTAACAGAGTGTTGCCTTTCACTACCTAGACAATTCTGATTATTGGAAAATCGGAACAAAACATGTAAAATTCTAATAAAATCCATCACCTTATCAAAACTTCGATGATAAACCTAATTTTTTACCGTTTCATTATCCGGTTAGTTTTTTTATTACTATTTTTCGATTTATTGCACCGACACTTCCAACGGGTTTCTTACATTAATTTTAAAGCAAAACAAAAAAATTTCAGCATGACTTTAAAGAGAGTTGAAATACTTTTAAAATGATGTGCCACTTAACCCTCGTGCTATTTAAGATTCTTGAAGGGGTTGCCACGCCATTTAGGGAGATGACCCTACATCCATGAATTTATGATCCAAAGATGTCCCGTTTGAAAGCAAAATCGACCTGTTTTGGGGTTTTCCGGAAAAACCTGTTGCATTGAAAATATTTCAGGTGGACTGTTTTAATTGGGCCACCCTGTATGATTGAGATTGTATGAATTTGTGTCCACATAAATATTTCAGTACTGTGACATACGGTTAAAATTATTGCATGTGTACACATTAATAGGTGTTGGAATAAGGTTGTTGGTTTTTGAAATATTCGTAGCAGTAAGTGTTCTACCTTCTAATTCAGGAATGTATTAGAAACGTATTTAAAAAAGTAGTACAATCAGTTTCAATGTGCAAAAGTTTATAAAAATTTGACACAATATACCTAACTCCCTGGTTTCTAATGACAATACTTGAAATCTGTTTAAAAGTATTGAATTATGTATATCTATTACATTAAGGAGGTTAAGCACCATCTGTTTTAAAAGCAAGACATTGCAAAAACAGGATATTCACTATTATTAATATTATATTGATAAATATTAATTGGTCATATTATTAATAATTATGATTTGTTAGTTTACTTATTCTTATTCTTAAAATTTTTGCTAAAGTAGAATCAGTAATAACAATAAACCACACAAGACACAAGAGTTTACACTACTGGAAAAAAATTAAAGGAACAAAAAATTTTAATGAATTTTTTAGTTACTTTCGAAAAACTGTATCAGTGAAAAATGGTCGTAACGAGATTTTCTTTTACGTCTCTAATTTGAAGATCTTTAGATCGAGAGAACTTTATTCAAGTTTTGAAAACTGTCCTTCGATTTACCGTTCAATAATTTCTTGCAGAGATATCCATGATTAAAGACAAAAGTGTTTCATTCAACTATCGATATTGCGGCAACCTAGAGTCGCACGGAGACCTCAATTGATTGAGTTT